CACACCCAGCGGTTTTTTTTTTTTTTTCCCCTTTTTTTTTTTTTTTTTTTTTTTTTTTTTTTTTTTTTTTTTTTTTTTTTTAAAAAAAAAAAAAAAAAAAAAGCACTAACAGCAATATACAAGATAAGCTTAAATTTCATATACATTTCATGACAAAGAACACTTGTTACCAATGAAATAAATGTGATATATGTGATCAGACAAGCTGTAGCAATAAATATTTGGAAAAAATTAAGACAGTTTGAACAGATGTCTGTTACTGCTATTTGTAATTCCACATGTCCTGAATTCCACATCCCAATTACTGATATTTCCAGCAAATGTGGCTTTCAGTTCTCAGACTTTCCTGGTTGAGGAGTAAGATTCCAAAATTCCACAGAATTAAATTCCCCAGTAGATTCGCTAGCACATTACAGTAAGTGGAAAGAAAAATAGGTAGTGTTCCTCTTTTGCAAAAACTGTGTGCACAGAGAAACATTTTGGTAAATCCACATATTACATTAGTAACCTGCATTTCTAGCTACAGTAGATTTTTCTTTCAGGAAAAGAAAAGAAATGTTATCCTAGACTAACTTACCCTATCAATCTTTAACTCCTACCTCTGTGATGATATTATCTGTTTTCAAACATCTGGCTAGGCAAGAGCACAGTTCTGCAAATAAACTACTCAGGTGAACATCCTGAATCTGTGGAGTTGACCTTTTGAAGTCAGTGAGGTTTAAACTGGTCATCTTTAAGTTTAAAAGTAGGCAGGCACTTGTGTCAAGGTCAAAGGGACACATCAGGGCTTTGGGACCACATCTCTCTAAACTACTGCCTTCATATCATCAGATAACACACGGCTTAACCGTTTTCCTTTAGAGAGCCCGGGTTGCCTGCATACTGCTCGGAAACGAGCTGCACTGTATTTTGTACGCAGCCATTGCTGGCTGTATGTTGAGCCAGGCCATCACACACGAACGCAGAAAAGCACAGGGCACTCGCCACCGCTTGGAAACAAAATCACCCCAGCCCTTGGAGCTGCTGCTGGTGTTGCTCAGGGCTCTGCTCGACTCCTGCTCCAGGTCGGCACAGCCCAGGGACAGCCAGGGCTCCTGCCACCGCTGATGGCGGGTGACTGCAGCCTACAACTCCCAGAATCTAATTGTAAACCCATTGCATTCAGGATGATACAAATGAATAGTGTACAAGTGTACAGCCACCAGTGCCAGGTCTGTGCTATGTGAGGTTCATCAGTGTGAGAGGAGATTTATGGGTACAGCATGTCCAACTGGATCTTGAAGCTGGATCTGTCACGCCTTTCTGCTCAGCGAGCAGTACAAAAGGACATGGCACATGCCAAGTCCTGGTCCCCAGCGTGCCAGTATATGGCCCCATTACTCCAGCCTACAGCCAGCTCCAAATCACACTGTCACCCAGGTTTGCTCTCAGTTGGGCCTTTTTTTGCTCCTGATATATTGATGAATACATAGCAGAAGAGAAGCCAAATTACACAAAACTGTCTTGTTCTGATATATTGGGCAGTTAGTTACCATCAGCCCCCAGAGCAAAATAATACCTGGGCTGAGAATAGTCTCGGGGCTCTTCACACAGCAGCTGAAACCGTGCCTGCAATTGCAAGTGTGATTTAAGTCTCTCTTGTTCATATACAGTTTTTTGGTACTTCATAGGCCAATAAATTTTTTTTTCTTTGCTATTTGTAAAGAGGGGATTAAACCATGTTGGGCTGGAGAAAACCTCTCCTGCTGGGGAAGGGAAAACAGTGTTACTGCAAGACTATCATAAGGCAGAGATGCTGTTAGAACAGTGAAGGATTTTCCTGTAGTTTCTTAGTACCCATCTGCAATAAATTTTTATGAAGGTTTGGAGGAAATAGAGGCCTAGGCTAACCAGCAGGTTCAGTGGTTTGGAAAGTTGCACAGCATAGTTACTGGCAAATCTTTGTTTGATCCATCCTGACAGGTTCTGCCATTTTATACTGGTATTTATTTTTCTAATGCAATATTATAAATCATTGTCAGGTCATCAGCATTCCCACAGTCTTCCAGAGTATTTTTGTGTCTGCCAAAGGTTCCCACCAGACCTATAGGCCTATAGGATGCTATATAAGCTCCTTTAATGGAGCATGTAGTGCTGAACTGTGCTCTGCTGCAACATTCCTGCTCAGAGGAAAACGTATGAGGAACAAGGTGGTCCCAAGAGTTATGGCTTAAGGATACCATGAGACTTATATTAAAGACCACCTCTAGTAATAATATGTCTTAAACCATCATAGCAAATTAAACCAGTATTTTATTTAAACAAAAGCTTTTTCCTTTCACTGGTCACCTAAGAAAGGCTGATCAATTAATTTGGTTAATAAGATGGTAAGTCATCCCATTATTGTACTGCACAAGCAATACTGTCTTCAATCTAAATGCTTCATATGTATTTACAAATTAAAAACTCTTCACTTCTCTAGGTTAAGTAACTCCCATTGGTTCCATTTTATTTATAGAGGAGCCATGATTGAGATTATTTGCCTAAGGCCAAATTTAAAATCCTATATGAGGATCCTGGGGTAAAGTAAGACATCACCAGGAGACTCAAATCGATGGCAGCCTCCAGAGGACCATCCTCCAGCTGAGAATAGCAGGAGTGCAATGTGCACTGGCCATGTGTCCTCCTTTGCCTTATTGTTCGGCCCAATGGGAGTCACCTTTCTTTTCCTTCAGGTGAGTGAATGTTTCCCTTCTTTTCTAAACTGTGGTGGAGTGCTTTCAAGAGATGTTTAAAAAATGAAACAAAATTAAGTTCAGTCATTATTTTGTGAG